GTCTGCATGGTCCGCTGCCAGAACGAGGCTGTAAGATAATGTCTATCTCCGAAGGAGTATCCTTACTAGTAAACTTCGCGTACTGACATGTTAATAGGTAAATGGCCCCTTCGGTGGTTGTGTCCCGTTCGTACAAACCAGTGACGACAAATCATGCAAACCACCACCAGCACAAAAACCACCAACGAAACCACCCGTCAAACCACCAGTCAAGCCACCAGTCAAACCACCAGTCAAACCACCAGTCAAACCACCAGTCAAACCACCTGTTAAGGGCACAACCACACCGAGTGAATACGCAACCACGGTGACAGAAGTTAGAACTTGTTATTCTACCCCGGGCAAACCAATCAAGCCCCAAGAGACACCTTCCTGGACTAAAATGCCTTGGAAGCATGGCAACAAGAATTATTTCAAAAAAGTCATTCTCAAATATAAGATAATTATCATCCAGAAGGGCAAGCCACCAGTCGTAATCCCTCCAAAGCCCGACCCACCCAAACCAGAGGAACCCGCAACCCCTGAGGAGAATCCCGAAACCCCTGCAGAGAATCCCGAAACTCCTGCAGAGAATCCCGAAACTCCTGCAGAGAATCCCGAAACCCCTGAGGAGAATCCCGAAACTCCTGCAGAGAATCCCGAAAACCCTGAGGAAAATCCCGAGACCCCTGCAGAGAATCCTGAGACCCCTGAGGAAACTCCAGGGGCCACTGAGGAACCCTCTGTCACTCAATCGTTACCCGAACCTCCAGAATCCACCGAGAATCCTGGCGGTAAAGGCGATGAAGACGCAGAGAGCGAAGAAGATTATTACTGAAGAAGGTATTAACCTTATCACGAACTACTACTTAAACAGAAAATTCTGTCTTCACTTTGTATATAAGGATTAAGAGCATACGCACCTTATTCTATATATAAAAAAACAATCGATGAAAGAATTGGAAGAATGAAAATCTATGCCATACAACGTTATAACAACTAAGCCGATAAGTATGTTAATAGGAATATGTAATTCAGCCGCGTATCTGAACATCTTCTAGTTTCGCGTGGTGAGGTAAACATCTAGGGTAAATCTTCAACAGATAGTCTGTACTCACCTAATCGGTGGCCCCAATGGGGCTTTGGGCGTCGAAATGCAACAAGATATGTGTTGCTGATGTTTCAATTTTCAGGATTTGCCCCCACACGCCACTCGTGGCTACCATGTGGCTTAGTCAAAACCTCAATTTCGAAAGATTTCGAAAGGTCAACCGCGGGGCCTCGCTATTTCTTACAAATCCGATCCTGTTCCAAGGTTGTTAACTGAGATATCGATATATCTCAAACTCGGAATTAGTAAATTATTTCAGGATATAGTTTGGGTCAGAGGCCTCGAGTCTCGAGAACAAAACACTGAGGTTTGAAACTAGCCGCCCTGAAAGCTTTGCCTGAACTTTCAGACCCTCAGCTCAGCTCGTGCCAGCTGCAGAGCACCTCCACCTGCGTGCGGCACAGCCAATTCACACTGGCCAATGCCATCAGGCGCACGATTGGTGTCACCAACATGCAACACAAAAGAGGCTTCTGGACGAGATCCAGACCCTGCGAACTTGGTCCTGCGAGCTGCGATGCATAGTCAATTTACATAAACGGCTCACAAAACGAGGTACTTGGGATTATATTCGCGCACGTACGATGGCTCCGAGCGGCAGACCTTCCGAGCTCCCTGAACTCTTTCCATTGGCCCGACTCGCTGCATGGTACCGCCCCTTACGTGCATCTCCCAAAGATCCCTTAGGTCCTGGGATCGAGGCTAGCTGCTAGTCCCAAAAAACCCAGCTGCGATCGCTAGGCTAGCTACCCCGCAAAACTGGGGCTTGGGCCCCCATTCGTCAATCTTTTTCCTCGAGAGGCATGGTCGTGATGTCAATGGACTACTTGTGACCGACGCTGACTTCTCGTAGGGAGAAATTTTAAACCGTTCGGGGCTTCGCTCTGGTTTTAACTCCGGCGGCACAAAAAGTTGAGTCTTTCTGGTTCTCTGGCATGCAAGCTCTCGGCGATCGTGGCCCACTGAATGTTTCAAATCGCTCGATGCAATTGAGTAAAAAGTCTGCCTGCTCATCATTTAGCGCTACCTCGGTTGGGGTGGTTCTTTTCCACGCAATGCTGTGCGACAGGAGCACATCCGGCGCGGGATAGTGAGTGAAGGGAATACGAGGTTAAGGTTCACGAAATGCAGAAAGTATATGCAGGTGCTATCACCCATAGCCTGGTACAAAAATACTAGTATCAGCGCAGTCCCAGTGGGACCCCGCTGAGACAAGGGTACAAAGGGGGGGTGTTATCGTTACCTACGAGATACTACAAGCGGCCTCGTCACCAGGATCCTCAGCTCGTGAGGGATTACAATAGGCCCTCTTGGGCTATATATACCAAGCCCGTCTCCTCGTTCTAGAGTTGGTATCGGTTTTTCAAAGCAGTAATCTAGTGTTCCAGGCCACCTTAGGAAGATAACTACCTTGTGGACGATAACTCACGGTCAACCCTATATCTTTTGTCAATCTATCTCGTCCAGTTATCGATAATGTCGAACATTTCGAATAACCCTGCGCAATTCCCCGACGAGGTCGACATCATTGTCGCGGGAGGTGGATCCGCCGGCTGTACCCTTGCGGGACGGCTCGCTGCCGCTGACCCTTCCCTCTCGATCCTTGTCGTCGAAGCTGGGCTCAACAATAAAGATGTCCCAAACGTCATCCACCCTGCCATGTACCTCACCCATTTGCTACCGGGTGCCCAAATGACTACCTTCCACCAAGCCAACAAGAGCGAGAAGCTTAATGGTCGGGAACCCATCGTCCCAATTGGAGGCGGCTTGGGTGGCAGCGGGAGCATCAACTTTATGATGTACACGCGTAGTCAAGCGGTTGACTATGATGATTGGAATACTGAGGGTTGGACGGGGAAGGATTTACTCCCGTTGTTTCGGAAGGTATTTTTGAGATATCTGCGTGGCGCCGGCCGGAGCTTGTGTGACTTCGATGCTGATACAAGAATATATCTAGATGGAAACATTCCATAACGACGATCCTGCTGTCGATAAATCCCTCCACGGGTACGAAGGTCCCTTCCATGTTTCAAGCGGTGGATACGTGTCAAAGGACTTCCAGGATGACTCTATCCGCGCCGCCGCCGAAACAGGGCTGAAGGAGGTCCCCGATGCAAACAACTTTACGGAAGCCAATGGCATACAGGTACAGTCACCCTTCCGGCACGCTGTCTTTTAAGTTTTAAATATATACATATTAACACGTGATTCAAGAAATGGCTTAAATGGATCCACCCCAAAACCGGGCGCCGTCAGGACGCCGCCCACGCAATACTCCACCCTATCGTGGAATCAAACCGGACAGGCCTACAAGTCCTCACGGAGCATAAAGTCGTGAAAGTTATCACATCCAACGGCCGCGCCACGGGAATCGAATGTACCCCAAACACGAGTATTCAAACTACAGCCCCAGCGACCGGAGCCCCTGCCACTCCGAGAGTATTCAAGGCTCGTAAATATGTCGTTGTTTCTGCTGGCGCACTAGGCAGCCCATGTATCCTTGAGCGATCTGGTATTGGCTCCAAATCCGTCCTTGAGAAGGCTCGTGTACCAGTTGTGTCCGAAATTCCTGGCGTCGGGTCAAACTACATGGACCACAATCTCTTCCTCCTGGGCTACAAGAGCATCATAAAAGAAGAAGAGTGCTTCGATGCCTTCCTCGATGGACGTCGCAGCTTCGAGGCCGAAATCGATGCGTTTTCCAAACCAGGGTCTTTGAATCATATCGCCTGGTCCAGCTTAGACACCGCCGCCAAAATCCGTCCTAACGAAGCAGAACTAGCATCTGCGCCGGAATCCTTCAAAAAGCTGTGGAAACGTGACTATGAATCCCGTCCCGAGCGTCCACTCATGGTCGCGGTCTTCGCACCGATCCATTTCGGTGACCACTCAGATCTTCCAAAGGCACAATACATGACGGGTGCTGTTTTCTTGTCTTATCCTTACGGCAGAGGCCATATCCACGTCACTGGGCCAAGTGCAGATGACAAACTGGACTTTGAGAGCGGATTCCTCAGCAATGATTGGGATCTTGATGCCCTAGTGATTGGGTATAAACGCCAGCGAGAGGTTATTCGCCGCATGGAGTCGTTCGCCGGAGGTGCCGAGAGTGTCATTACAGGACCGAAGTTTAGAGAAGGCAGCAAGGGCAGCAAGTGGGATTACCCTACTGCTAATGGCGCGATGATAGAATATGACGAAGAGGATGATGAGGCGATTAAGAACTTTCTTAGAGATAATATCGCAACCACATGGCATAGCTGTGGTACTTGTGCTATGAAGCCGTTGAAGGATGGTGGAGTTGTAGACGGGAGGTTGAATGTACACGGTATTGAGGGTTTGAAGGTCGCTGGTGAGTTCGAATAACCCCCCTCTTCCCCTCCGCCCCCAGTGCACCTCCCCTTCAAGATGATGTTATATGACTAACTGAAAATAGACCTTTCGATCATGCCGTCAAACGTCGCTGGAAACACTTACTCGACCGCCCTCCTCATCGGAGAGAAGGCTGCCACTATCCTAGCAGAGGAACTGGGAATTCAAAATTTCTAGGTGGAGATGTACTCGCGACGCATATGATAGGGCTGATGGGTAGCTGAGGGAAGGTTTAAGGTAGCAGGTGTCTTAAGGTTTTTGATTTTGGTGTAATTTAATGATTGTGATGATTTCATCCACAGGCTGCAGGGTTGGTAGTCAGCAGGATATATATAATGGCATTTTGTTCCAGCAACTACCAGCGCCTTTGTTTTGAGAACTTGTGATCAAAAGGAAGAGAAAAAAGAGTATTCCTTTTCCGTTTACAGAACGGTCGGGCAGGTATAGCAATGCAATCGGTGAAACCACAAAACTCATACAGCAGGTCGATATCTGTGTTTGCGAAGGGGGCAAAAAAAATAGCAAAAAGTCAAGGTTCTGGTTCCTACGAGGGTCGAACTCGCGACCTTCGCGTAACAGCTAAGAAATTCTTAACATATTAGCACGACGCTCTAACCGACTGAGCTAAGGAACCTTGGTGTGATGGAAATGTCACCACGATCCATCATACTCAAGCCTCTCCGAATTCCCACGGCGCAGCTAGTGCCAAGATGCTGTCCATCGATACCACAGCAGTACAAACCTGCCATTGGAACCCAATTTGCTTCGCCACTGATTCACGATGTCTTCTTTTACTTCACACATCTCGCACCGTCCGAGGCTAATGGGAACCTACACGCCTACCATCGCATCAACAGCATCAACCGCGAGGAAGAAGCTCTGGATCTCAATCCCAGCTGCAGACCTGTCCTCAGACTAGTTAGAGCCCAAAGACCACAATGTACAGCTACGATCAAATGGAAATGCCAACCAACACAAACGAGAATACAAACGCCAAGCCCAAGCTGGAGCTGGCCTCTTGCAAGCTCCAGTTCTTCCCTCAGCTTGATCTTTCCGCGTTTCTGAACGACACATTCCTAAGCCAACCCACCGAGCATTGGCTTAACAAGGAGGCATCCAGAAGACAATAATGACAGCAATTTCAGCCAGAATCGAGAGCCAGCACGATCGAATAACAGGGACTGAAGGGGAACCAGACTCCAGAATGTCTTTGGGAAGGCCCACTGCCTACCAATGCCTAAGTACCTACCGGTATTGGTCTTTCGTTGCGTATTCCACCGACTACGCGATAGCTCGAGGCAGATTACACGAGGCCAAAGCGGATGGGCCGTGTATCGTGCGTTGACCGTGGGACCTGGCCAAATACGCAAACTAGTCTCGGAGAACCTCCTTGTCCGCAAACTAGTCTCAACACTTGGCTTGTACGCAAACAGTTCGGAAGGCTACACCAAATTTACAACACTACCGATCGCACGAGCCGATGTTACGAAACTTTGATGGTAGCGGGCTTTGCGTCAATATCTTGTCAATGGCCAGAAAGTTTTGGTTAGGAAATGGGAGGTTGTGGGGAAGTTAAACGGTGAAGAGATAGGAAGCTAACCGAGCCGGAGTAGGGCCAGCAAAACGGTAGCCTCCAAGATACGCAAAACGCGGCGAGCTATGTCTACCGTTTAGGAAGATGAAAATTCCATCTCAGCAAGGTTCCTTAGCTCAGTCGGTTAGAGCGTCGTGCTAATATGTTAAGAATTTCTTAGCTGTTACGCGAAGGTCGCGAGTTCGACCCTCGTAGGAACCAATTATTTTTTTTTGAACCGTACGTGTATATTTTCCCCCTTTTATATGGACCCTTCGAAGAGCTGAGTTTTAAGAAATTAATAAACGATATGTGTAGGTATAATATAGATAAAAGATCATGGATTTTAAAGGTATTTAGAAATATATTCTTGTGACTCTGAGTAAGCTACGAGACTAGTTTTGGGTTATAATATAAGGGCCAATAAAAACAGAGTCAAAACGAAGAAGGTTGCCTCATGTCAAAGTATGGAATTCAGTTACGTTGTGAAAATAGATGGACGATATCTGAAGTATAAGTGGCTTTTTTCCCTATGGCCCTAGCTGGAGGGACCCATCGCCTTTCACGGTCCTCTGGTTCTTGGATATTAAGTCCTTCTAACATATCAACGAAAGTGTTCATCTTGAATACTTCGCGGGTCCCAGTTGACTGCACCCAGATATTGATACTATCACCATATGCATCCGTTCCTGTGATCCGTATACCCAACCGACCGGCAGGGTCACTAGCTTCACTGTTCGTCGCGTAACAGTGAGGATGGCGCGTAGCGGGGTCGAGAAGGTCGCATTCAACGTGGAGAATGGCCCCACTATCGAGGTGGGCTACTTTCCGACTAACTGAAAATATCCAGTGAGATATCGAGAATGCTTGACGCCTCCCGTTGCGTAAAACCTTGACGTCTCTTCCAGATCTAGATACATCCGCAGACCTTTGGCGGGACGTTTGCGCTCTAACGCGCTGGGCTGCAGCCATCTTTTGTTTGTAGAACTCCCTCACAACGGGGTTCGGGGAGTGCTTCAGGCTGTAGAAGTTCTGGCGGAGACTTGCGTAGTACGATTTTCGCAGCGGATCACTGTAATTCTGGATATTATGGAACATTAAGTTATCCTGAACAGGGTTACCTTGATAACTTTGGTGGAGCGGGAGTGCGATATTTAGATGCCCACCAGCGTTTGGCGATAAATGTGAACCCGGAGGTAGGTAAGCCTGTAGCGCGTTCCTTGTCAAGGTTTGAAGCATAAGACAACACCACATCTCCATGAGATTCAGACGAAGGGGGTCGATATCTTCTTTAGTGATGGCAAGAAAGACAAATTTCTCCTCCATTTCCAGCGCCCTATCAGCCAGTCCCTGGTCCCATATATGATAGTGTAGGCTCCTGTGCTTCGCTCTGTATTTCGGGTCTCGATGATCTGCAAGCCTTTGAAACAATTGAACACTTTGGCCAACGTACAAGTAAAAACAACTCGGTCGTTTCTTTTGCCAAAGAATGTGAAGATATATCCCTTTCTCGTCAGGCTGGCCACCAATCCCTAGTAAACTATTGATCTCTAGTCAATATCTGAGAGTAACTGGAGTCGGGTATACAATTCTAGCGCTTTGTACGTATCCCCTGAGGCTTACCTTTGCCTCGTGTATTCCCTGGAGCACAAGACCCCCCAAGCTTCAGCTCGAAAAAGCGCTACCAAACAGGATGCGATATCATCTTGAGGATGCAAGTCTAGATATTCGTTATACCTAGTGCCATGACGCTCCCTGACCTTCAGCAAAAGGTATGCTAGTATCGCTAGAGGATCTGGCGCAACGTACTTCTCCTCCACTACCATCCCATCACCTGCACTTAGCGATAGCTTTGTCTTACCAGTCTCAAGCGCTGATGTCATATAGTTTTCCTGCACATGAATCGTATTTTCGGTAGCAGATATCGTATTGTTTTGTGAGCTAAACTGTGGGCCTTTGCCGGGTACCTCTGGACCTGGTACAGCTATTTCAAGCGGTTGGTGGCTTGATTTTTCCGGAAATGATTGTTCATCCCCTGAAGTGGAAGGGCTTTCATCTCCGTACTGTCTGCTAGGACCTGCGTATGCGATCGGGTCGTCATCCTCCTCGAATAGACTGACGCGATTTGTTCTTGTGGCTCTGTTGCTACACTGCATCGGTGCTATTGATATGTCGCATTTGGTTGGCACTAGAGCTAAGTCGACGCAGTAGTGGCGAACACTTGTTGTCTACATCGATTGTGGCTGCAGAATGATCATGAGGCCCTGAACGTGCCCAGGCTGGTTTACGAGACAACTCTGGACGCTCTTATTGCTTTTTCTTTTGTGGGAAGATGATGGTTTAGGGAAGAAAGCGACAGGTTGGGCTCTTACAGAAGAAGCTTATTCACATTCTAACTTATTTCTGAGTTACCAGTGGGCTAGTCTCGTCAGTGGGCTAGTCTCGTCAGTGGGCTTAGCTTCTCTTCCTTGATACCACAAACAGCAACTTCGATGTTTCGAGAATTCGAGACGCGCGTTGCAGTTTGTGGTATTCCTATTCTGGTCTAAACTCCAGCCTCGACGCTTGAAAATTTAAACCCAGTGCGAGAGCGGATCTTGGAAGACTCCCCTTGAGAAAATAAGGTTTGGAGGTCGAATTAACGTAGGTCGCCGTTTCCCAGACGAGGTCTAGCGGGTGCATGGCAGATTACCTTGGCATCAATTCGGAAGGCTTAGAAGCCGACAGGAAATTCTTCCTAGCCATGGTGTTCAGATAAGAATATTAATTCATTGTTCGCGTCTTAGATACACTGGTGGGTTAGTGCTATGTTGTGGGCCCGAATCGAACCAAGTAGCTAGGCAGGTATAAGTCCCACAAATATTTTGTGAAACCGGACTCTATTCACGTTCAGTATTTTATCGTTCAATCATAAAATTGGTCTTGCATCCAGACGCCACAAAGTGAGAGGAGCTGGCTGGCCTTTAAGCTTTAGGACGGAATGCTGTTATTGCTAGTATCTCTAGCCCCCTAGAGCACTCGTATACGAAAGTGGGTTCTGCAATGCTAGCATGCTAGTTGAATTTCTTAGGGCCCTTCCTTCTATAGGTTTTTCATACGACATGATATTAGGCCCCAGAGATAAGCGGTGGCGATGGCACCAGCTAACTATTGCTCTTTGTATAATTCCAGATCTAGCCAGCCAGCCAGCTAGCCTGATGAGATCCTATACAAGTGCGTGATATTTATTGGCTTACGAGCATGCTTTCCCTATCTCGGTGATTAAGCCGCAAGAACTCGTGAACTCGGACATGTCGGCGGCCCACCACGGTGCTAAATTAAATCTTTAAATACCTCTAGTGTCCTGCAATGTGCTCGACAACTCTCCTCATACTGGCCTTAATTTGTGTGAATTTATGGGCGAGAACTGATAGCTGCCCAAATGAAAAATCCTATCGGGTGGAAAACTAAGAATATGGATATTCGAAATCTAACTCAACGCCGTCGGGCGGTCGGGGTACGAGACGAAATCTGACGATGAGTAGTATACGTAATAGATACTTATATTTAAATGGCATTTAGCTATAATCCTAATAATAGCCTACATAGCTACGTAGCTAGTCTACTAGCATGCTGTCGAGTTTCACAGGTGATACTATCTATACTCGGCGAACGTCATGAACATTTCAAGCGCTTCGCACCATTATTACCTTCGAGGTTTCTTACCCTACTTGTGGAAGCTTAGATATAAAAACAACCACCAAAATAATCCAATCTTGTCTCTTACCCAGACCCGGCCCCGGATGGCGTTGATTCAATTAGGATTATCAGACACTTGATGCCACGACAGGCCCAAGTTTCGAAGGGTATATTTGTCAACCCGCGGAGAACATGACGGCTGGATCGATCATTAACACATTCCCTTCAATTGCAACCTACGACCAATCAACCCCTACAATTAAAGTCTAATCCTCGCTGAAACCTCCGACTCACCTTACCACCAGTTCACAATCTATTCCCTCACTCTCTTAATAATACCAATAAAAGCCTTACATATGCATGTCTCAACCAACAAGAAAGCT